ATACTGTTTCTGTTTTCAATTTACTTTGGTGTCCAATGATAAGGAGTGCATTTCATTCCCGTTATTTGCGTGGTAAGTATGCAGCTACTGAAAACATTTGTCAGTAGACCCACTTAAAACGCTGAAAAAAGTTGGAACACATTGAACATTTATGCCAACCATTTCATCTGAGTATGACAAACGACATGATATTGATCACTCCATGGAGAGACAACAGCCTTGTTTATTTCTCACCACATTCACTGAGCGCCAGTAAACATATTCTAATTACTGGTGAAAATTCTGGCAGCTGGTTCCGTCGCTGTTATTCTGTTTTATTTACAAATCACAATCATTGGATTCAGACAGCGATGGGAGAAGTTCTTCGATGTGGATGAACACTAACTTCACTGATGTGGTGTTAGACTGATAATTATTATTTTTAGCGTAAAGTTAACTAACTAAAGAAATGTTTCTTTTTGTAAAACTAATTGAGTTTTGGTATGCTTAAATAGGGACTCCTCAGTCGCGTGCATGTTTTCTTATGTATCGTGTATAACTTTTGAAAGCACTGAAGCTTATATTTCAGTTACAAACCATCATCTGCATATTTAAAACATGTACGGGAGAAACACAAGGAATTTCAAAAAGGTACGTGGTAACCAAGTATGTGGATAGCATAGCTCCTCGATGAACTCCGGAGTTGTTGATTACGGATTAAGATGGTCCTTGTATGATGTTTCCTCCCTAACAGTAAAACAGTTGGCGAGCCAAGCTTGGGGAATTCGAACAAATCCAGTTTCTGTAACAACTTTCATCGAGCAAGAGGATCAAATTTTGAGGAGCAGTCAAGAAAAAACACCGAACAGACTGAGCAAATTTGTTCAACTAATTCGTGATAAAATGAATAAGAGTGAAGACTGCTCCTAAAGTGGATGTAATCTGTTTGTAAACAAACTGTAAAGGATTATTGAGAATGCTTATGGACTGCTGAAGGCGTTTGACAATAGCTTTTTCAGTCAACCTGCCAACATAAGATGTTAAGGACATAGATGTGCAGAGTTGATAGAAGATTTGGATGCTTTGGGGATCGGTATGATTGTGACCGGCTTCCAACAGTCGGCGATAGTAGATGTGTTAAGAGATTCATTTACAATGGAGGTGATTGCCCCAGCTACAGATTCAGCACTAAACCTGAAGAGTGCTGGAGTTAAACCATACGACCCTGTAGCGGAGAGGGAAGTAAAACCATTTAAAAGTTTTAACATATCTCAATTTGAGAATGGTTATACATTACAAACATTGTGTGACTGCCCTGCCAGCCCCAATATTTAATTATTTCTAATATATGCTGCACCTGTGAAGTCCCTCCATCCTTCGTCCGGCATCAATAGCGCGTTATCGTCAATACTTGTGTTGTTGTAAGTAGTTTGCACACACTAATAAGCAGTTGTTGAATTTTCATGGCATCGTCGAGTAGATTAAAGGTTTTACCATTGTTGATACAGAAGAGCCAATAGACTCTCAGACTGAAGATTACCGACGAAGATAATATCACAAAAGTACTACCCAATAGCTGCTAATTAGATATTTCGTTCTATGTAACCTTATTTACTCCTTTCCTATGCTGGTAACTGAACAAGTCCTCCTGCAGTGTCTTGTGGACATATGCTACCTGGCGGCAACGAATCTTCTGACTATTTTCTTTCGTCGCAAATGGTCAAACGGACAACCTTGACAACACTGGTCCACTGACTAGTTCAAACACATAATAAATGAGGCTTTAGGATGTTACAATATAACTTTTCATTGATGCTGTACGCTACCGAGACCGTATCCAGGGTTGTGGATAACACAACCACCGCATTATCGATCAGCTCTGAACGGATTTCTGTGCGCATTGCTTGATTCAATAAGCAGTCGCAGACACCATGGGTGTGATAATCTGACGGGGTTATACCTTCCGAGGGAGATGTCTGTCAAAAAAGCCTTGAATGTTGTTGATAGGGTGTTCTCCGAGCTGGGAGTGTTTTTCGCGGACGTTTCACAGCCAGGCTAGGCAACATTATCAGTGCAACTTTGGGAAGCGTCAGTCCTCCGTGTGTTTTGATTGGCCGTTGGGTCCCTTCATTCCTAATGGTCAGTTGTGACCATTTGCTGTGATTTGATTGGCTGTGTCGTTGTTATGGTGACGCATCCTCTTTTATCATTGGTCGATTTACTTGCTTAGACCAACTGTAAACCGGTTTGAACCGATTTCAAACTGGTTGGAACTGGGTCTGGGTCGGTTTTAGCTAGAACAGTTTTGGATCTCCAATTGGTCCTTGGGTAGTGATAAATGGGTTCCATTTTTTATGTTTGTTTATGCAGTGCTATGCTTCGATGAATTCCCGCATTGGCTTTGTGTTTTCTGTTCCAATTATCTTTTCGTTGTCCAGTTGGAAGATGTGATTCTCAGCATCTATTTGGACTGAGGATTTGAGACTTCTCCTCTTGTCTTTTGACTGCCTGTGTGTGTTCGTGTAGTCAGGTCTTGAGTTTTCCGCTGGTATAGCCGACGTAGTATTTGTCACAGTGAAGACTGTTTTGACTAGGGCGAATCCGGCTTGCAACTGAATAAGATTATTGCTATCACCCTGTCACCTTGCCACACACACACACACACACAATTATTTAAAGGCTGGGAATGCAAATTCAAAAAGCAAGCCCAAGAGGTCCAGGGGTTACCTCTTATTCCCGAAATTTCTCATAGAGTTAATCTTCAAACCGGCCTGTTCTCGCGTAGGAACCAGAAATCATCAAATGCAACGCAAATCAAGACGACCGAATTCCTTTTATGTGATAGATAGACAGAGTAAACAAGGTTTGAACCGAGAAGACTGGTGTCGATTCCAGCAAGTTGTGATGCATATAACAAGCGTGCATGGATAGGTTGTTCTACCTTGGGTACGCCTGTTTTGCATCTGTGAAGCCCTCTGTTCTATCCAAGTTTGGTTGGAGATCGATAAATTCACACTGCTGATAAGAGCCTAAACGGTTGTGTAGTGCTTTTTAGCTCTTCAGTTCTCACTTCAGTTGCTCTGTAGACGATAACATCTACTACGTTGTGTAGGGTTGATAATGAAGGCCTTTGTGATGAACGTGTGTATGAAAATCGCAAATAACAATATCTCAATATGAAAGGAAAATGAACTGTTCATAGATTGCTCGTTCTCCTATTTATCAATGGAAAATAAAATTGTGTGCTGGAATGAGACCTCCTGTTTTCGCATTGCGCTCAGCAGTGTTTTTGTTTTCACATCAGTGGGAGGTAAACTTGGCCGCGAATCTCGTTCTCCAGTTTACCGATAAGCGGCACTTTAGTGGTATTTCAGCACATGGTCAAAATTAAACAGTCATGTCATTTTTTAACAGAACTTCCACATCAAATGGATCACTCTGTCTACACATTCGATTCGGTTTCAGTGACGTTTTGTCAATTATTTTTCCATAAAGCAAAATATAACAGAAAGTGTTACCTACAAATGGTTTAAACATTTGATTGTTCTTCCTTCACATCAGGTTTGAATATCACGAAAATTCGACGAGGAAGGTGAATGCATGAACGCACTTCACTGACGGACATATCCTCCATAATGGGAAATTGAACCGGCTAACTCGAAAGCTGATTAGATAATTGGCATTTCAAGGATCACAACAGCTGTCTAACCGCAGTCTGAGCGCAGAATTAGCTGCTAGGACCACACAGTAAGAGTTTACTCACAACAACAAGAATCATCTAGAACATCGATACGAATAGAAGTTTTATTTTATTCCTTAGAACCCCATCTTATCCCCTTAAGCAGCAGAGATCAACGACTGATCGAATCGCTTCTCACGTCCTGTGTTCCAATCCTATCACCTCCACAAGAACCACCACCTAATTTCCTCGCTCAAGAGGGTAGGTATCCAGTGCGAGTTCCTCGACTGGTAACTTGCCCCTAAAAATTTCCCAATTCATTTGGGGAAAGTAAAGCACATTTCCATGATTAATATAATTATTCTTTCTATCATTGATCACCAATTCTATCTCGTCATTATTATTCCGTTGTTGGAAACAGTTCTGCCTGTACACGTTACGTAATTTTCATCGCTAACCGGGTACTGTTTTACTGCCGTCCTGTGCGGCGTCACGTTTCACGGTTTTCCTAAATTATCCCCAAACACACCAGTGAGGTTCCGCGGCACTGTTTTTTTTCACATACGATGTTACCTTTCGGACGGTTGTTCGCTTTCCAGTAAGAGAATTTTGTAGCAACAGTTGGTTTCTCTTGCAGGCTTCGGAATCGAATTGGTTGTATCATAATGTCAATAATAAGAGAAGCCCAAAAGAGTGCTCTTATAAATATATATATATATATATTGTATAAATTAGCNATCTAAATTACACGACAAACGTTCCCTGAAAGCACTTGACCGGTTTCGTGGTTCTTGCCGCTCATCAGACATGCCTGTCCGTTAATATTTTCTTATTTCATCCGTATACTGCATTGTATTGTTTTTTATCGTGTACATGCACCCAAGAAGTTTATCTCTTTATATGTATGTATATTCCAAATATACCACTGCACATTTGATTTCTAATCACGTTCGATCGTTTTGATGTCCAATTAAAGTTTACGCAATCCAGTAGCGCATCAGTCGGCCGAAGACATATTACAAGGTCACGTGCACGCAAACATATGCGCGTACGCACGCACGCACACACACACACAAACCGCTCGCCGCAACCGCTCGCCAAGTGCAACTGAGACGTTGATTGGACCATGCTCATGAGCCAATCACACTGCAGGATCTACGGCTGCACTCATGGCCACCTCAGACCAGGGTGGTAGGCGAGCGGACGTGCGGGGTGGGAGGGTGAGAGGGTTAGTAACCAGATCGAAAGTAGCCAAACGTGACGTGAAATCCAGTGACAAGAGACAGAGCTTGAGACCTGTAAATTTGAATATCTGAGTCATCTAAACAGCTCCGTGCGAAGCATGAACAAGAAAGGCGAGGCGCGGTCCACTGTGGACATATGTGATCTGATCTTGAACTATGTAAAGGAATTTCCCATTCCCAAAGAAGTCAAAACGCGGTGTAATGTGGATAGTTTAAAATCAACTGACATGGATTTCAGTCGTCTCCAAATTACCAACAAGGAGACAATGCATTTGCCCGTCACCGCGAATGAATCGCACGGAGTTTTGGCCAACGGGATCTCCGACCCGGGGCACAGCCCTAGTCGACCGCATGGGATCAAACGGAAAATGAACAGTCACGTCCTGTTCTCCTCGGTTTTCACAAATCAAACCAGTGAGACGCAGACAAATCATTTGCGTACGGAACGTCGTACGAGTGCCACGTGTCGTATCAGTATGCAAAAATCTGTGTGTAAAGAGGGCTCATTGAGTTTGCAAATCGGTCCACCTGGGCCAGTAATCCAAGCCAATGGAGGCTTCCGTCGCGAAGTACAAATGTCGAATGAGCAAGAGAAAGTTTTTGAAGAGGAACTGACCTGGTCTGTAGATACAGAAGTAAGCCATTTTACGGATAGTTCTTGCATCAGTCCATAGTTATTGATCTAGGGTTTTCGTGTAGCATGTTCTTGTTCTGATAAGTTAGTTTAGCTCCGCTCATAGTTTTCGTCAATTAAATGTTTCGTTTTGGTTTACTGGAGAAATGGCTTATCGCTCTTGGCTCACGTTCATAGTGCCGCCGTCAATACACTTATGGCACATCAAGTACCATACTCTGACCGGGTTTTCATTGAAAACCAGCAGCTCACAGATGATGAGAATTCACCAGTTTCTATTCATGCTTAAATTTATTTTCTGACAAAGAAAAGCATTCAGATCCCCGTGACCTTTATCTGATTTGAACAGAGATGAGACCTAGGAAAAATTTAATTTTCTACGTATTTACAATTTTGGGGTATGAGTGTACAATTTCAATGCGGCTAAAATTCATGCACAGCATATTGATCGCCACAAAGGAATCAGTCAGATTTATCAGTGTGCCCAACTCGTCCATCACACACGGCTTTTGGATTTACTTGATTGTGGTTAGAGACCCAGTTCTGGTGCACTGAAATATTCACTCGATATTATAATTGGTGTCGGGTTAATTGTTCATTTGCCTCGGCTTACAAAAGAAAATCGAAGGAATCCGCGATTACATTTTACAGCTGCACAATTGTGTTTGTGATGAGAATGCGATCGGAAGAACGGCGGGNGGGAGGCGGGGGGGGGGATTTGTGCATTGTGTTTTTTAAGCGTATTTTTCTCAACTGCGGTTCCCCGATTTTGTTCGACTTGTGAAGCGTGAATAAAGGTAAGCTGTGGAGGGGGCGATGATAAGAAATCTTACTGAAAAACAAGGATGAATGGACATTTTTCAAGTCTCATGTAAAATTTCTCAGCCAATACCCATCCTCATAGATCAATGGGTGAACGAAAACAGTAAAACAATGCGTAAAAGTTGTTAGAAATTTCAGTTCATGTAGTGACACTGTGGTTTTAAATGAAGTACTCAAATGAATTCGGGATCATTTTGAAGAAATATTTAATTAATTTATTGTGAAATTTAAAGCTTTATGTTTTTTATCACCAGTGGTGAAGAATACATTTACTCGGTAATAGTGCTCGTGTTGAATTTCAGAGCCAGAGCGATGGATGTAACATTCGGTAATCGTTAGAATGATTTCTTTGTTTTGAGTAACACTCATTCCAAATATCTAATACATCACTGCTCGATTTTTTCAGTTCATCCAATAGGATGAATAAAGCAAATTTTAACTTGATGTGGCTTCATTTGATTTATACATAGCTTTGCATTTCAAAATGGGCGAAAATTTCCAAAAAATGATTCATATATATACATATATATATATATATTCTTCTTAGTTGCGGCGGCTGGCACTTGGGACAGGATAAGCCGGCTTCATGGATATCAAGTGAATATCCATGAAATATCTTGGGAGTTAGCTACTGTAAACGTTCCCAGTGTCACCCTGCTTCGGGCTAACGTGGCATCTCTAGACTTTGCTAATCAAAGTGCTAACTGCAAGACAGCAGGAAGGCAATGCCCGGTTGCCGGGTGGCCATCTGGGAGGAAGCTCATACACCGTTGGTAGTTTCTAGCTGAACAGGAGTTCATGCATTCCTGATGAATACGGAGTCATCGCTTTGGCCGTTGAGTCGTGAAAGTGACTTCGTCCGCCTAACACACTTTAGATGCCGACTTGCCGGATGTTGAGCTCCCGATTACTGTCATCCTAGTTTGCCTAGCCTGTCGAGCGGTCTACCGGTGTGTGGCCGCTGTTGCATATAAACAGCTTCTTGGAGCCACAGGTGAGAGCTGAGCGTTTGGTGGAGACCAAAGAATGAAGGATGCCCCAAAGGGGCCGTCAGTCCTCCGCCGAGTCGGAGGTGCTACTCCTACAGGGCACCCCATACAGCAACATATATATATGTAAGGTGTGATGTATAGTATAGTATGTATGCATGATATATACTCAGCAGATGGAATAACTCAGAATGTACAGGATACTCCCATTTCATCAGTAGTGGTTGACCTAGAGCATGACGAGGTCAGGCACGTTTAATTGACAATTATGCAGCCTAGAAACTACTTAGATCCCAGTAGACAAAATATAAATTATTGTCCATACCTAAAGCACTAAAACAAGTAATAAATATTATGAAACTCCATTTGACCCTAAAGAAAATATTTCAGTGCATCACAATCGACCATTGCCGTAGACCGCGTAGTTTGATCGCGGTAACACGGCCACACCCAACTGTGTACAGTGCCGTTGATGTAAAATCGATTGAATTTGGAAAAAAAACGTTGAAATAAATAAGTATGGGGTGTTCGTTCAATGATCCATAAGTTATTGACATTCAACGCGTGTTCCTTTCCCTTGTCAGCACTCGGTGGTTGAAAGGTTCGATAAGAGTGATTTTTAGTTTGTTTGTTTTTCTCAGCGGTGAAAGTACGAGAGACATGAAAGACTAAGAATGAGAAAGAATTCTTGTTTCTAATCAAACTGTTATATTCTGTTCGCTGCCACACAAGTGAGATATCAGGAAACCCGAGAAGATATTGTTCAGTGCTTTTCCGGTCATCAAACCAGTAATTTCCACGTGATTGTCTGGAAGTAAGCTACTTCGGACCATTTCGAGTGCTCCTGGGATTATGCTCTGTCTCCTAGTGTCTGATGAATCAATCAATCTCGGGTTCACCAACAATTTGATTGGATAATTCTAAAAGGCAATGCTCGGTCGAGGATAGTCGTTTATTAAGGATTACAGATGGGACATAACTAATTTGTCATACATACATTTGTCATACACACACACACAGAAATCTCATTCGAAACATACCGTCGCAGTTCCTGGTCGCACAACGGGTAATGAATGTAGCAATCGATAATTATTCTTTGAAAGTTACCAATTCGCCCTGAGTGATCTTGTTCATTTTTTTTCGTCGAAATAAATCATCACCACCTATGTTACCTACTACTCACAAATATGAGTAGCACCTCACAGCTTATATATATACCACACGTCTGACGCCAGAATGTGTGCCAAACAAATCGTGGTACAATAATCTTTATGAAAAGGAAACTTTCCACGATTTGCATGTGGACTGAATACTGCCAGGTCGCTAAGACCAAGGTAGGTGAATTTTCTTAGGGTATCCACAACTGGAGCCTTTGGCTAGCCAAAGCCTGACCCTCAAGGCAGTGGGGTGGTGTATGAAAACCGCAGCCCATTGGGAGCCGGTGTTTACTTCATCGGATCATACGCCTTTTGGACGGGGTCAAACGTCCAAGGTGTGGGTGTGGTTCGTACGCCTTCTCTTGGTTGGTTTGAAATCAGGGTTGTTAGCCAACTCCCCTAGGTGAACTACCAGTGGTCCACCAACCCAGTTATATCCCCGGATGTCGGCTTTTCGTCCTTTCACTTTGGTGGGAAAACATCTCCTTCAAGAGAGTGTAGTGAATAGGGCTTCCTCAGCAGACGTTGTTTGAGACACTTGGTTGTATGGGAGCATTTCGCGAGGTACAAGGGAGGAGTGACCAACCACAACCCTAGACACCCATCCCCGACCATACTGAGACATTCGGAGACTGATTGAATCGGACCGTAGATCTGATTCTCCTCTTGTTTGCATACGGTACATACACTCACCGAAGTTCTTAAGCTCCGATCACTCACGAAGTGGTTTATCCACTTGCAGTCAGCTAGGGGTTAGATAAATGCTGAAGAACACGGGCGTGGAAAATGTCACAACGGACAGAACAGTACACCAGCTCAGACGCGTTAATCCCTTTAAAATACTGCAATAAATCTTCCCCTATTCGATGGAGAAACTGGGTTATTTGCAAACAGTTGTGTACCAGTAAAAGTGACTACTTCAATATTTTAGTTCGTGTCATTCCTTTTCAGGAAGAGTGGAAGGAGTGATTGACGCTTGTCCTCTTTGGGGACAATTTTATTTCATTTAAGTAATTTTGTGTCATATTTTTACAAGCTATTTTGTCGAATCGCAATCAGATATGTATGCCCTTAGAAATAGTGAAAGGTGAAATCGTGCTGAATACAAATATCACTAGCAACCAGAAAACGGTTTCGAACTAATACAGGTTCGTAAATTTCGCCACAAACTGAGTGTTCAAATCAAACAATGTTTTAGTTGCCCTTATTCTGATCACTCTTCTGTTCTTTATTATTTTGTCCCGAGGATTAGATTTCCGACAGAAATATTGAATACTGTTGAATGTGTTTTTTTTCCTTTCTCAAATTACGAAGGTTTCCAATCCTGACTAGGCAACAAACAGGCCGCTTTGTGTTAATCTTTGTCATTAAATTCTATGCACATTGGTATCATAGATTCTTCGTTAGAATTTCCGTTGATGTAGGCTGCTAGCCAAGTTGTTGATCATATACCCCCTCAACCCACCCCTGCGTGCATGCATTATTCGAGCTGACCTCGATCTGCTAAGTTTGGATTTGAAATCCAATCGTTTTTTTTCAATCTTCAAACTCATAATCTGTACTCATTTTTGCTCGGTTGTCGGGAAACAGTTTTCAGATCTTATCGAAATAAACTGGAAAGAACAGGAATTCGAGAAGGAAAAGTTGTTTTGTTCAATTCATTCACAACTACGCTGTCTGTTCAGATTGCTTTGCATTCATTCACATGATCACCAACTATGTGATACTTTATGTTCGAACTAACACAGACAATTTGACCCCCAAAAGAAATTCATGATTTGTCTCTGAACTAAACCTATTCATTTCGGACAATCAAAGAGCGGTGTATAGAGCGACTTGTGATGTGATCCCAATCTGACATTCTAGGTAATCTTGCCACGAATCTGTTTCGAAATCCATCTAGCCCGGTATTTGTTTCTGAGAGGGGAATACGAATACATCGATTCAATTCACCGAACTGGCAGTGAATCACAAGAGGTTGTCGTAGAGCAGGGGACACCCGAGTGGGACAGGGGAGGGGGTGAATCTCATCTGATGACATTAATGTTTTCTTTTTCCACACATATGGAAAG